TCTTTTCTCCAGCCAGTTCCCAATCCATCAAAGCCTCATGTATTTTACAGTTTAAGAATTACACACCATTGCTGAAGCCTTGTTTTTGGTTTGTGTATATGCATGGGAGCAGTCACCACAGAGAAGCAGCATGTCATCTTGCCACTATAGATTTGTATGGCTGCAAAGGAGCTAAGAAATTCTGTACCATACCTTAGTCTAGTTGAAGCTTGTATGCTTCACACTGGCCAAAAAGACAACAGTTTATCAAATCCTCAACAACACAAGTCTGCACAACATGCTCTCCCAGAAGAGAAAAACATTCGTAAGGAGCACAAGGCCCCAAAGATACCATAATTTAATTATTTAACAAACATGCGTGGGAACAGGACACAGTCTAGCTCCACCATGGATGGAGGGGCTACACAGCTGCACATAAATGGAGGGAAATACACATGCTACATAAAGGAGGCCCTGGTGGGCTTTAAATTGATAGTCAGCAGCATCCTTGGTCTGACACCTCTAAGTGGAAACCACACACAGCTTCTGTATTTAAATCTTAACCTTTTGGGTTTGAAAAACATTACACATACTTTCTCTACCTGGTGTTTCTTCTCCCACATGTACTGTAATGTCACATATTCTACACATTCAACAGAACAAAGTTTGGATCCAAATGCTGAGTGGATCCTGTTGATCAAGAAAAAGTGATGGCTGTCATCCATGGCATAGAAGTGATTGAAATCCAAGAAGATTACTTCCTTGGGGTGCTGCTCCAGAAAGGTGTTGATCTCTTTCAGCCCATCCCATACTTTGATGCCAAACAAGCCATGTATGAAGTAAATCTCTTGTCCTATTTCCCCAGGTTTGGAAGATACACGAAGGTCAAAGTAGCGAATGCCACCTTCCAGCTGCTCTTTGAAAGTCAGATTTTGAGTCACTGACCATTTCTTCATGATCTTTTTAACCAAAGAAATTCTGGCCAAACGTTTAATGGCTGTGGCTTGGTCTGGTCCCACAGGAGATTTCTCATCAACCCAGTAGCTGAAAGAATCATGTGACCCTAGAAACAAAAGTAAATAATATTTAATTTTAGAAAAACAGCTCCCTAAAACACACATACTTGTGTGCCATGTAAACTGAAAGAAGTCCTACATTCATGTCAGGGTCGCAGAAGAGTTATACGCAAGAGCGAGTCTTTCAGACTACCCTTTACACCTTAATTTTCCCTAACTGTACAACAAGAGCTACGCTTAAGGTTCTCAGTTCAAACAGTTTCCTTGTGTGAGCTCCCAATTTCAATGCACTCTGAAAATCACGACCATGAGATCATCAGTGGTAAAGTGAAACTTCCTTCTAATCTTCCTTCATTTACAAACTACCAATCCACCTTCAAAGGCTTCCCAAAGCCTGGCACATCACTGATTTGAGATGAGACTCCAGCTTCATTGAAAGAATCCAAGGCTTTATTTTCATTCTACTTGGTAAATCCAATTGGAACCTAACACAAAGTTCTTGGAACAGGTATCTTTATTCATGCAATGACTGTCTGAACTTAGAGGTGGAACAATTGAGTATACCACCAGTTAGTGTGTGGTTCAATACCAAACCCACATTAAACAAGTCCATGAACATGTCTTTTACCTGGCAGTGCCTTTGAGTGACTACAGACATGGTGAATACAAAATTCACCAAAACAGACAACCAACAATCAAAATTGCTAGTCCCTGCTAAAAGAATGCATGTTCAACAAAGCTCCTGTAACACAATCTGTACCTCAGCAGAGAAACTGCATCTCCAGTATAAGAATTTGTGTTTACTAGAAAAAACCTTAAACTAAAAGTTCAGTAGTAATTGGAAACAAAACTGAGAAATAATAAAAATCCTTCAAAATAACAGCTTCAGACCTTAACTGAGTCAAGACGGTAACAGAACAAAGAGTAATAGGGCAGTGTATCTCAGTTTGCACTGTGCCAAGGCAGCATAAAGGAAAGATGGGCAGAACCTGATGTACCACAGACCAAGGTTGATTTCTAATAATTTACACCAGGTACTGGCATTCTGGCCAGGAAGCTGCAGCTGCTCCAGGCATGACTTCCCCATGAAGCTTCAGCCAGGAAAGACACTACAGGAGCTCTAACAGCTCTGCTTCCCTTTTTTCTTCAGGACAGCACATGAGAGGTTCCCCATTGAGCCAAACCCCACCTGCTTCCTGGATGCCCACTTTGCTGAAGGACAGGGAAAGCATCTTCACCCCCAGTCACCCCAAGCAGCTCCTCTTCCAAATGCTTCCAGGGTACAGTGACCTTGAACAATGCTGCCAGCATCTGCATCTTCCCTCCCTGCATGCCCCAGGGTTCTTGCCCCTGCTTCCGGGACTATGCTCTTCTAGAATTTCCTTCTCTACCTCAGTCTGCAACTCCGCTAAAAAAATTGCCAAATTTGTCATTTCCAATTTTAAGACAACATCTGAGGCATCCACAGCCTCCTTTACCCAAACCTTTTATTTGTGTACCAGTGCTCACTTGAAGACTGATGCATTTCCTGTGATGCAAGGTCAGAGCTATAAACAAGATTATGATCTCAACTGGATTATCTCGTCAGGATTTTTTAATCCAGATGCAGGTACAGACTGTGCAAACCAAACATCAGTTCACAACCACCTTAAACGCTCTTTCTCCATGAATTTCAACTAGTTCAAAAGTACTGAAAAGGAACTGTGAAGGTGAGTTTACAGGCTTTGCAAATGAACACTAAAAACTAATTCTGATCAACTCTTCATGAATTCTTCAACAGTCTTTGTAAAAGTATGCCTCTTAAGTGGCTTTCCATTCAGTCTTCTAGAAAGAAGTGACAAGTAACAAAAAAAGCCGTTTTCAAAAGATTGCAGCTTACAAAGCTATTTAGTACCTGCCACAGTAAACTATCAGAAAAAGTAGCTGTTAGTTTTGGAGTGACACCTAATTTTTTCCCACCTCCAAATGTGAAACCCTGAACAAAGTCCAGGATTAAACATCTAGCAGACATTTCAGAAGAAGCCGTGTAAGGCCCAGCTCATAGTGTATGCTGCAGCTCACAGGTGTTTGTGTTTCATGTCCCTCCTTGTACAGCAGAACGAACATTTCAATCTACCACAATATTTGGAAAGGAAACTTCAATTGCAAGGAGCTTGTCTTCTGCCTGTAAGTCATTTAACACAAAAGAAGCCATGGGGGTATGTGTTTGCTTGGGTTTTTTAAGTTCTCAATTCTATCCATTTTAATTTCTTCCTCTATTTAGGTCACTGTAGAAAATTGTTTAACATGCTACAGTAAGGCTGTAAGAAACATCTTTTCATTTTAACTAGGACTGGGCAGCAGCCCCTAGAGAGCTGTCTACAGAAGTCATTCACAACATTATGCTTCCTCAGACAGTGTCACTTATAAATCTTACTTATGAAGGAATGACAATTTTATCTGGCATTAAATATATTGTTGTCAACTCAGAGTTGCCTAAGCAAATAGGAGCCAAGAAGCAGCTTGTTTTCCTCAGCCTGTCACATACTTTACAGCTACAAAAGCCTCTTAGGCACATCTAAGGATACAAAGAGCAAATTTCCCCTTGCACTATCACAAATAAAATTCTATTTATAGCTCTATAAATCAACAAGAAAGAAAACAAGCCACATGCACATTGAAGCTTTTTCAACACATACTTTAAGAACTGCTCTCCTTAACAGGGCATCTATTTGAGAAACTGAACTATACGCAACATGCTTCTATAGTTAGAGAAGATCTTTAAAACCCCCGCCCTGTGGCTCTGCTTAAAAGCCTAGGAAATGTGACTTCTCATTTACAATTAACTCAACACATATACCTAGATATAATCAAGTAGAATACGAGCTGGAGCACCTAAAATCAAGCTCTCCTTTTCACAGTTGGTAGAAGACCGCTTCCAAAGAAGGACAGGGGAGCATCATCAATACTGAGGCTGATAAGATGTAGCAGAAGTTCAGTTAGCTTTTCAGTGGTCATTCACAGAAAGCCAGCCACCAGCTGCCAACTGGGGAAATATCTAAGCCGTTGTCCTTTAGGAGAACAGAGGCCAGAATTTCAGTCTAAATTGCTTCAAGGGTGTGTTCTTGCACGTGCAGCATCCTTCTTGAGTCACTGTACAACAGGAACAGATTAGCATTCTGATTGCAAACCTTACTGAGCCTCTCCAGTGACATGGCACCAATCTGGTGCTCAGCCCTTCCCGAAACCAAGCCAGGCATAGGAAATAAAACAGAGATTACAATTAGCCAATTGCTTCCAATAGGCCAAAGATACATAGCACAAAACAGCAAGCATTAAATTTAAGCATGAAAGTCGGCACATTCGAAGAAAAAAATTAGGGGACTGCTAATCAGCTGGCAGCTCCTACACAGTAAGAAACAATGGCTGCTCTATTTTGGTTTCATTTCTTTCATCTGACAAAGATTGGAAGCTGCAAGAAAAGCAGTCATATGCCATCAGATGCCCAGATATTTAATTATCAAAGGCTATGATATGGTTAGAATATTAAAGAGGTATCTTCCAAATGCCAGATGGTTAAAATGATGGATAGCCCTCTTAATTTTAACCCAGCAGGTACAACCATAGATTAATTTTTTTTCATATCTTTAAACCCCTTTTATTCTCCCTACACTAATTTCTTCAAGTTAATTGTATGTTAAATAGATCACTTCTCAATTCGTGTGTTAAATAGATTGTATTTCAATGTTCAGGATGACTTTTTTGTTGAAGTCTCTGTGCTAATTGTTAGAAAGCAACCTTTTATCGTCACATTTGCAGCAAAGTCTAACTTTCCAGTGAGTCTATTTGTCATGCTACTTAGTCGTAGACAGTCAAATTAACTCATAGTGTAGCTCAAACAAATGACACTAATCACCACAGTGTTATTAAGCCTTGAATTTCAACAATTACTAGCTATATTGCTTTGTATATCTTTTGTTTCCACATCAATACTTTCTCCATCTACAGTTGCAGTGCAGCAATAGGAATCAGCATCATCTCACCAACCCCGGCATCCTTTCACAAGCTTGCAAGTTTACCTTCAAGGAAAGTTAAAAATATGAATATGTGGCATGCAAAGTGCAGAGATCTTCCAACATAGAACATACTTGTGCAATGCCAATTACTTGAAAACAAGACAAGAGCTCCTGTTTTTTTTTCCAGATACATGCATGCTGACAGTCATATCACTAGTATCCCTGGTTGCAAGTCTGCAGACTGGTCAGGAGCAGCACTTAACGATGCTTTCTACAAAAATCTAATCAAGAAACAATAATGAAAGCAGAACAGCAGGAGAGTGCACTGTCAGTAAGTTTAACTAGATCAGAATAATTTGTTTTGATCTTCACATTAATGGAATATTAACAGGATGAAAAAATACAAGAGAACCTCTTCTGTTATGTTAAACATTTGTAAGAAGCAAGGTCAATGTACTGTATCAACCCACTAAAAGCATTAAAGGGTCATTTACGGACAAAGAATCAACCCTAGCTGTAGTGACGCCAAACTTAAAGCAAGCTTTGCTCACTACACAAAGTACATTCCCAATACATTACAAAACACCACACAACATAGCATGGCAAGCATTACATAGCCAAGACAACTAGCGCACAGTAATCAAGCTCCAAAAACACAGGATGCAAGCACTAGCAAGTTAAAGCTGTCCCACAAATATTCCTCTAAACCAAATGTCCTGTGTGTGCCACAACTGAGGGAAAAATAGGATAAACAAAAGTGCCTCACAAAGCCCAGAAGTCCTGAGGATTCAGGTCATTAACAATCCAGATTTTCTAATCAAAAGATTAACATCTTAAAAGCTCTTCACTAATGAAAAGTAAATTGAATAGTTCATATTAACTTGCCAGCAAAAGGAGAAGCAGCAATAACAACTATGCTATTGATAATTAATTATCCAAAACTATTGAGATGAGCACTTATGTTTTAATAGAATCCTAAAAGAATCCTTTAGGTATTCTTAATGCAGTCTCATTAGGGAGGACAAAGCCCAGTACAGACCAAATCCTCTTAG